AGTTCGAACAGGGAGTCTGAGACCTCAGATGGGCCTTTTCCCCATTCAACATGAAATATTTTTTTTTATTTTATTATTATCTACCGTTGAACAGGCAACCTAATTTTGTGTTTACGACTACTATTGTTCAACTCAGTAGCCTTATAGTTTAAACAAAATGCAGAGGGCAAGGTAACTCCTTGATAAACTATTAGGAGAAATTTTCCTTCGTATAGGGCTATTTAATGGAACTAAGCCGCATTTGTGTTACATGGAGGGGAAAACCACGAAAACCTCCCATGGTTATCCTGACGGCAAACGGACTCTAACCCAGCGACAATTTCATTTTATTCTATTTTATAACCGTCGTTGAACAGCCGACCCAATTTTGGGTTTACGACTACTAAGGTTCAACTCCGTAGCCTTGTCATTTTGAACCCAATCCAGAATACAAGGAAACTCCTAGATCGAGTATTGGGAGAAATTTGCCTTCGCGGAGAAGTTTTTGATAGGGCTAGCGCTCATTTCCGTTACATGGAGATGAAGACCACGAGAACTTCCCACGGTTAGCCTGACGGCAAGGCGACTCTAACTCATGATCCGTTTACCTCTGAGGATATTTCGCGTCAGCACTGTGGTCAGTGCAAGCCGGATGCGGAACTCGTATCGACTGGGATTCGAACTAGGTTAGCCTCATTGGAAGCCGACCGCTCTATTCCTTGAGCCATCGCGGCTCCGACTATTTTATTTTATTTCATAACCGTTGTTGAACAATCAACCCAATTTTGGGTTTACGACTACTAATGTTCAACTCCGTAGCCTTGTAATTTTGAACCAATCCAGAAGACAAGGAAACTCCTGGATCAGTACCCCCAGAGGTGTGATTTGTTATGGGAACATGGAGGACTTTGTGACTCGACAGATTTAACGTGCATCAGTCACCATTTACTACACGGAGAGTCTTCGATCGGCGAGGATCGAAACCACGACCTCTTGGACATGAGCCCAGTGCCCTACCAGCCAGGCTATCCCGGCCGAAAACAAATTCTTGCCGTGACCAGGATTCGAATCTGGGTTATTGCGGCCACAACGCAATGTACTAACCAGTATACGATCACGGTGACAAAATAGAATTGATTTAGCCACCAGTGAGGATTGAACTCACGACCTCAGGTTTACAAGACCAGTGCTCTAACCACTGAGCTATAGTGGCTCCGACTATTTTATTGTTGACATTCACTTTTGAAAGTCAACATTCTCGTGATTTCGGACAGTAACAATATTACTGGTTTTTAAATTGTATCACGCCGTGTTAAACCGGCGCTTGTAACGAAAGGGTACTTCATGCTAATAAATATGTATGCATTGAGATGTCATTGCATTGTAATTATACCTGTTACTCCAACTAATGCTCCTAATATACCATTGACAGTGTCACTCACGCCAAAGGACCTATTTTTTAGATATCTGGAAATGAAAATATATAATTATTATTGTATGTTAGAAAATATTAAATAAATAAAACTAACGATACGAAATTATAAAAAAAAAAGAAATTAATAACGATTTGAATAAAAAGTTAGAAATCAAAAACAAGCGAAACCGAAATTCTAAAGACATGTATGTTAGCAAAAAACACCATAGCTGAATTGAATCTGAGAGTGTCACGCGACTAGTAATCCTTCTACCTAGAGTGTCATGGTCATTTGGGTTCATATCTGAAAAGTTCATTTCCACTACAGAATCGTTTATATGGGTGTAATACGACTGAAAGGTTCGACACATATTCAGTTGAGAAAGTTTTAAGTGAAACACTTAACGATTTTCATGAACGTATTAAGCTGGGTTTTTTTTCAAATGCTGTTATGAATTATACATTATAGATACTTTATTAAATACCTTTATGAAAACAATACTAAAGAAAAGTTTTATGTAAAAATGAAATCTTCAGGAAAAAAAATAGCTAAATACGATAATTAAACTCAATTATCTTATACACACTTCTTAAGCCTTTTTTTTTAATTTTACGGAGTTTCTGCAGTTTCAGCAAATGACTTTTCCTAGTGGTAGCAAAGGTAACACGAAATATTTTATTAAATTAGAATTAAAAGAATTTTTCCACGACTGCATGTAAATAGTTTAACCGAATGTCAATTAGATGTCATGTATGTTCTGATAAAAGTTTTTAAAAATTTAGTTTAAATATTGTTTTTAATAATTATGCTTCAGCATTTTTTTTTTGCCGGGATAGCCGGGTTGCAGGACTGTTTGTGAGAATGGGAGTTCGAATCCAACCGACCGAATATTCCCCGTGAAAGTAAATGATGACTGGTAGGCGTTAAATCTGCTGGGTCACAAAGTCCACCATGTTCCCAAAGTAACAAATTATTCCACTGAGGTTACTGGATTGGAGATTGATCCTTCTGTAGTTCAGTTCAAAAATACGATCTACAGTTAAACGAATTGATGTATAAATTTGTCCACCTAATAAACGGGTATGACTTAAAGTCGAATTCTGGGCCATAGATGGCGCTAGTGGAAAACAAGAACAGTCACACCACCTTGCCTTGAGGGCCTACGTGGATGGCGAACCAATGGCACGCGACACAATGTGTATAACTGAGACATTGCAAAAAAAAAAATTTTCAATGCAAATAAAGAGTTTTGAGTTGTATTTAGTATTATTATTTTCCCAATAATCACGAAGTCAAAACTATTTGACGGCACATCTATGACCTCATTAAGCAATTTTTTGGAGAAAATGGCACGTTGGTGTATAAAGGTTTGCCACCCCTGGCCTACGACAACATGGTTTTAAGTAAAAATGTAATCTTCAGAAAAAAAGAATTGTTGATCACGATAATTAAACTCAAATATCTTATATACACTTTTTGAGCATTTCTTTAATTTTTTAGGGAGTTTCTGCAGTTTCGGGAAATGATTTTTCTTGTGGTAGCAAAGGTAAGGGATAATATTTTATTAAATTAGAATTAAAAGAATTTTTCTACCATTGCATGTAAATAGTTTAACCGAATGCTAAATAGATCTCGTTTATGATCTGATAAAAATTTTGAATTTTTTTTTTAACAATTATGTTTCAGCATGTTTCTTTGATAAAGAAAAAAACTTACGTTGCTATAAGCGCAGTGACTCCTCCTCCTAGAGACGCATTTATAGTATTGATAGCAGCTCTAAAAGAAACAATTAAACTGTTAAAAATATCCCATTGGAGACAGAATTATATATAAATATCACACTGAGATAAATTAAAAACTGGTAATTTACTTTTGATCGACAACTAAATGATTTTTATATGTTAAGTAACTAATTCTAACCTACAGTCCCTAGCCTAATTATTAGACGCTCTATAAGATTCTATGTAAAATCTTAATTATCAGGTGATACTATACAGCTTTATTGTTTTTACTCGACTGAAACCGGTTTGCACTTATTTACGTTCGTGTATCAATTGGTTAACATTGTAATGCAATACGTTTAAAATAAATACAAATCGGAAGTATATGAAAAATCTCCTGAATAAAAACCCATTACATGTATGTTTAAATATAAAAGTATTGCCTATAAACTCGTGCAAAATATGTCATTATTAAAACTTTACAGTACGTCTCATA